TTTTATTTATGTTGCCTGCAAATAGCTATGGGAGCTTGAATAGTTATGAATTTGTTGATCATTTATATTTTTTAACAAATTTGTGAGATTTGTTAGTACATTAGAATTTCTTTAGAGATTTGTAACAGTAGAGCAAGAGATTGAGTAGATTGAGTTTAATTTTAGTCAGATGAAGCTGCTGTGGCTACAGATGTAGATGGGTTTTTTTTTTCTTTTTTTCCAGGGTCTATACCAACGGATTATCCATTTGTAAAGGTGAAAGTTTATACCCACAGCAAATTTTTTTTTAAATTTCTTAGGGTCTATACCAACGGACAAGTTTTCCGTGAGAATAGTCCCAAGGGTCTATACAAACGGATTAGGCATTGGTATAGACCCTATACTGATGAGGTTTCTACCGATTGAAAGTTCTTTCGTCAGAATAGTCCCTGGGGGTCTATACCAACGGAAAATGGGTCTATACAAACGGAAAACTTCCGTCAGTATAGGTACATCTCCTTGTAGTGTACAAAATTGTAGGTGGTTTCTTGAGGTAGTGGAACAGTTCAACAATTGACTTGATCAGATCCCTTTCCAAATTTCACCACATGTGCTCTTATTTGATAACTCCCACCTATAACTGCCATCTCCTCCTAAATTTTAGCTAAAACAGACCTAATTTAACTTAAAAAAGGTAATTAAAAGATAAAAACCTTCTCTTTTATCTCCTTTTTTCCAATATGATAGCTAATCTGTCATGAGACCTAGAATTGCAAATCTAACATGGCTAAATCTCCACCACCCATTTAAAAATTTTTTACATGTGGCATCATTTAAAATTTTTGCAATTTATGGTGTAAACACTAACTGTTGAGTCACTGGGTGAGTGACCAATTGCTATTGGCCCAGAAGAACATGATCTGAAGAAGTGTCAGCTGCTCATGATTGTTTCACAAAAACGCAACCACGAGTCCTTTTCTTTCCCCCCGGTTTAAGATCTTGTAATTGATATATAGTTAGTCTTTCTTCGCACTTGCTGGTCCATGTTGATCAAATGGCAGTCCATGACGAGTCTAAAGCGTGCCATGAGAGCGATATGGTCTGATGGCCAGTAAGGAGAAGGAAGAGGCCCACCCAGGCTTCGTTTGGTGGGAAGTTCCAGTAAGCCCACAACCTTCAACCTGTCATCAGCTGTGGAGAAAAAATTGCATGCCATTAAAAATATAATAGAGAACTAGGTTTAGAGATGATCAAATACCAAAAATACCAATAACCCAGTAAATTAGTTTACTAAAGAAATTAATACATAGTTTTTTCTTCATAGCCAATGCATGCACTTCTATACATTCTCAAGAAAAACTGCATCTGTCAAGTGTTCCCTTCAAACAATTATGATTGAGGTAATAATGTGTATAATCATCAAAACAAGTTCATCATTGACAAAACTTTGAAAAAATTAACAGGCAACTGAAAATGGATATGTCAAGAGTCAAGTATATATATGAGGTCAAGAATATATAGGTACCTGTGTAGAAAATATAATCCAATGTTCCAAAATAACGTGGAGTGCAAAAGGTAAACCGAGGCTCACGTTTGTCAAGATCCATAATAGCTAATAAGTGATTTTGGTCAATCACCGAGGAAGAAAGAAACTCTGCATATGCACTTTCCTGAAATGATGCATAAGACAGCATTACAAGGTTTTGCAATTGTGATGATGCACAAAAAAAAATTGAATATATATCATGACCACTTGTTCACCCAAAAAAGAAATGAGCTAGAAAGAGTATGTTCATTGTAAGTAATTGTGGTGCAGCATGTCTTAAAACTTGAAATTTGGTGCTTTCATGTGATACAAATTTTAAGAAAATCGGAAATATGGTGTGACAAAGGGAATATGTATGCATGCATTTCTTCCTGTAACTAGGACACTAAAATCTTACTATATGAAATGACACAATTTTAATTAGCTCTTTTAATTTGACGGGACATCAGAATTAGTATATAAGCACCACTCATTTAATGTAATGTGACCATTGTAAAATTTTCAATAAATTTTCATTGTTAAGAAATCACAACCATTCGAATTATGATTTAAGGATAGGCATGCCGCATGCAAGATAGTAATAGCCTTACCAGATTGATCACCCGCCTAGTATTACCATGTCCTTCTCCATAATTGATTCCTTGTTTTATCAATCTATGAGGATCACTGTGATAACATTCCATATGGAAATAAATGTTAGTTTTGGAAATTAATATATGCATGTACATAAACTGCTATAAATAAGACACCTACCAACGACCTAAATAACTCAATAATAATCTCCTTTCGTTATAAGTAAGAGGTTTTGAGGTTGAATCGCATAATATGCGGGTGGGGCGAGATAAGGATGGGAGAGGGTTGCTTTCCATTGTGCAACCAACATAAAATATATATATATATATATATATATGGGGATAGTACCTATCAGTCTTATCTCCTAAATATTATGAAGAAAATTATTTTAAAACTACATCATTTCAATAAATCCCTATTGAAAAAGACTAAAATCCCTTATTTTTAAAGTATGAATTAAAGTGTTTTTTGTCCTTTTCTATAATACTTTATTAAAACTACGTGGTTTTGAAATAATTTTTCTCCTAATCTTTAGGAGGTAAGGCTGATAGGCAATATTCCACGTGTGTATATATATATATATATATATATATATATGACCCCTTTACCATTTGTACATATGGCATCAATTTCTTCGTAAACTTGAGAAAGATCCAAACATACACATTCTTGTTTCTTTGATTTATGTAGGGAATTTTAAGATCTCCATTGTTAAGCATCAATATATCTTTTGAGTCTCTTATTTTGTAGTCTAGACTTGACTGCGTTACACTAAATTGTCAAATAGGGACCATTGGATGGGAGAGAACTTTCAGTATTAGCGAATCCATTATTCATCTAATAGTTAGTGTTGTGTAGTTTAATACAATCTAGACTGCACATCACTTTTTTTATATCTTTTCATATAAACTATTGATTAGTAAGAGCAAAAGATTAACCTTCCAGGAATTGAGTTCAAATCCCCACAGATCAGTATAGGAATATTCTGTGATTGGGCAATTTCCTGCAGTTTATCAATAAGGGTGGCAACCTAGGTATAGAAATGAAGTAATTGTTAGAATTTTTTTTTATTCATTCTAGAGAAAAGGAGTGAATGAATTACATATATCTCTAGAAGTAATTACCCACCTGAGATACTCTTAGATCAGTGTTGTTCTTTCCAGCATATAGATGGGTATTTGCCTGCAAATTTAAAATTAAGTATGACTCCCACCATTGTTTCTTTTATCAACAATAGATAAAGTGCATTAATATAAAGAGAAATTAAAGGGGATTCAATCTTTACAATAAAAATTAATTATAAAGAGATAAAAGTTCTTGGGACAATGATACATACACTCAATGAAGTTTCACACTCTGTTATACACTGATAGAAAATGTCACTGTGTAATGAAACTTATCAATTTTAACGGCATCAATAATAGAAACTGTTAGTTTTAATAGCACAAGTAACAAAAATAGTCAGTTTTAACAGTACAAGGAATGAAAACCATTAGTGTATAACGGAGTGTGTAACTTTGCAAAATATGTGTATCATTTCCTAAGTTCTTGTGCAATGACCAATATAAACTATAGGGATATAACCAACCACATAATACAGTGTAAACATCAAAATCAATTCAAACAATAGAAAAACACAAAACAACTATGTTGCTAAACCAAAGGAGCCATAACCCCAAGCATCACCATAAAAGGAAAAGCCTTTGAAGTCTTCAACAACACAAGCTAATTAGGCTGATGATCAATCACATTCAGAGCATCAACCAAGCAATAAATCATAGCCCACTTGCAAACATTGTAATGCTTATTCTTTAGGACTGAGAGCAATGTTTCAAGTTAAGAATATGCAATGATAGTGTCTGCATGTTTAGTTATTTGACAATTCTAAAAAACTATATTTTAGGATTGAGACTCCAATTATTGAATGAATACAGTATCTATCCAACATTCCTTTTTTACTTGTCAAAAAGGAAAAAAATGAAGTAATAGGACTTAATCAAAGTATCAAGATACTATCATCAAGACAATAATTAGCGTTCTCCATATAGTTCTTCCATTCCTTGTCACAAAAATTTTTTTGCACATAATACTAGCTAACATATTTTTATAATAATATATAGTAACAAAAAAGTGAAGTGTTGTTCATCATATACAAACTAATTACACTTCTTAAAATCATTAATGGAGAAATGAGCCTCTTAATATTAGGGATTCACCTCTTTATCAATGATTAAAAAAATACAATTCACTCAGAGCAAAGTACAAATCAAAATTTCTCATATGGTAACTACTAATTTTTTTGATGAAACTCCCCAACAACAACTATGTAAAAAAAAAAATTACAATTGTCTCACCTAGAATTAATGTGTAAGAAGATTTTTATGACAAATTAAAATGAATAAGAGTATCTAATAGCATGAAGGTGCACTTTACCACACAAATTCTTGGTTGAAGGTTACAACCAGTACTGCCATTTTTCAGTCCCAATACCACCACAATGGCAACATTGTGCTGCAAAACCAAAATCCAAATACAAGGAAAATAAATGAGGACCGCTCACAACAAGTTACAGTCTGCCAATCGGATTATGGTCCTCAGCAATGACTGAGTACACAAGATGATATAATGTAAACCTTTATTAGCTATGGGAATGCTACAAAACAGAGCTGTCATGTCATTTTAAAACCACCCAACAAGAAATATTTTATTTATACAATTCAAGGATTCTTCACCTCTCCTTTCATGGTTACTTCGAACTTATCACCACGATAAAAAATTGCACATCCTTCATATATATATCCTTCGGCTGAATATAACTGCAACACATTACAGGATAACATTTTATTGATCTTAAGCTCGCATTACCTTATGAATGGAGTGCAATAACAAAATAAACACAAAACAATATCTAACTTGGGTTAGGTTTGTTCTTAAAACAAATCATATTGAAGCTCATCATTGGCTTAATAATTTTTTTAACCAAGATTTACATATATTAAAAACTCAAGTTATTAATAATAATTGTTCTTTATACTTATATACTACTCATAATTTATTCTTTTTCCAATGTAGATTTGGAATATAACAAAACAAGTCAGTATTTATGTACACATTAATAAATGAAATGGTACACGATGAAACCAATTTCTCAGTAGGAATTCCAAAAAAATTTCTAAGCAAAATTCCAATAGTCTAAGAAATGAAGCAATTTTTTAAAAGGAACGTACTAGATTGCTTTTGTGTGCATCACAATCAACAGCTAATGAGATTTGAATAAAACATACCTCATTGATATTTGTTTTTCTCTTGTACAAAGCTGAATAGCCATGGTTTCGCAACTTAGGTTCAAAGAAATCTTTATAATGGTTCTCTTGTACCTGCATGCCCCAACCATAAATTTAAGACAACTGCATAAGCTAAAGAGGGTAAATTAGGCCCCATTGACTATATTCAATTACTATTTACTATTTATATCCACTGATGAAAGTATGCAGAGAAGAAATTCATCACCTCCTGTAAACATATAATATCTGCACCATATTCATTGATCTCTTTCAACAATTTTTGCTGACGGTATTGCCACACACGAGCCCATGTTGGACAGCAAAGATGGTTCTTGGCATGTATATCAGCCAGTATATTGTAGGATAACACACTAAATGCTGGACCATCATCATTACTTCCAATGTCTATCATCCTGCGTGTGGAACAAACAGGGAAAGCAATCACAGGATTAGTGATCACTCTTCTTTGAACCAAAGACAGATGATTGCCGTTTTCAGAATCAATAGCTACACACTCCAGCTTCAGCAAGCAGTTGATATCAGCATTTGAAGGCTCATATGTTTCTGAGGAGGCCACTGGAACCCATTCTTCTCCTTCTTGTTCTGGAATCTCATCAAGTGATTGTGGCCATGAGCCAGATCTCCTTAATAATTCTTGTTGATATCTCAAGTGGCGATGACAAATCTTATGCCTTTCCCAATCACTTGAGAAGCACTGTGCAGAGCAATGATAGCTCTTCACTTTCGTGTTCAATTCAACACAAGAGATGCATTGAACTGTAGCCATGATCGAAGGATGAACAGAACAAGTTGGAAGCTTTCTCCGGAACCTACACAAGTAATAATTAAGCTTCTCACTTTACAATTAATCATCACTTCAAAGAAAAACGGATTAAAATCAAGAACAACAAACAGAGACAGCTAGGGAAAGATAGAAAAAATAAAAAATAAA